AGAAGCTCTTTGTGATCTCGATACCATAGAAGAAGATAACAAAATAGCATTTGTACAAATAAGTTTGTCATCATACTTTTAAACCATGAAAACATAAATGTAATGCAACAAATGTACAATACAAATGCTTACAATTGATGTAAAAACTAATTTATAATTCTACATCTTTGCTTGTATGTGTGTATGTTTATTTCAATAGTGAAATACAGAAAGAAAAGCTGTAGAAATTTTTAAAATTTAAATTACTTTCAATAATTAACAAAGGAGATTTCTTTATAATTATGTAAACAAAACGCTAGGAAATACCTTAGGAAAACCACTTTATGGAGTTGACTTTGCCATTACTCACACATCATTGTTGTTGTTCTGTGTCACTGAGCTAGTTCGAACTCAGTACAAGATTGTACAGTACAATACTCAGTACAGTATTGTACAAGAGCCTCAGTGCTTGTACAATAGAACAAAACACTGCCCGGTCCTGCCTCATCCTTATAGCTCTTACTATGCTTGGTTCACTGCTGTGGTCATTGGGTCAAAGCATCTTGGGGATGGGCTTCCTCTTTTTTGCCGCCCTTCTACTTTACCAAGCATGATGTCTTTCTTCAGGGACTGGTCTCTCCCTGACAACACAGCCAAAGTACTTGAGGTGAGTCTTGCCATCCTTGCCTGTAACAAGCATGATGGCTGCACTTGTTTCAGCATGTATTTCTTGTTTCTTTTCAGGGTCCATAGCATTTTCTACATTCTTGCTACAATCATATTTCAAAAGCATGGATTCTTCTTCCATCATCCTTAGTGATGTTCAGCTTTCACATGATTATGAGGGGATTGAGAATACCATGGCTTCGGTCAGGCACAGCCTAGTCTGCGAAATAACATTCTTGCTTTACATGTTAAAGAGGCCTTGTGCAGCAGATTTACTTAATACAATGTACACTGTGATCTCTTGATTATTGTTCCCATGAGCACTGATTAATGATCCAAGCAAGACAAAATCCTCGACAATTTCAAACTTCTCTCAGCTCATCATCTTACCTAATGGTCTAGCTGTGAAGATTTTGGCTTTCTGTATGTTTCTTTGTAGGGTTTCCTTTCATACTGGAACCAGAAATCATTAAGGGCAAGAAATTTCTGTTTCTATTTTTAATGTCAGTAGCACATCATGGTTTATTAATGATTCAAGTCCAATAAGAGTAATATCATTCTTTAAACTTCTTCAACTACTATTCACATCTTGGAAATTCAACTGAGATATTGGATGGCTCTACTAATAGTGTACTTTAAAAATCTATATAACTGAAATTTGGGGGTAAATGAATGATTTAGTGTATTGTGTACTTCACATTTCTATTTCCTTTCCTGCAACCTAATCGCTTGCTCAGCGATTCAGACACATTAGCTTTACTCTCAGTTTTGGGGAGGCTTCAACTTTGTCAAACAAATCCATAAGTCTGTCTCTTCCCATTTATTTACAGAATGTAAAGACTGCTATATATCAAAAATATTTTTTTTATTATTTTATTGGGGGCTCGTACAATTCTTATCACAGTCCATACATACATCCATTTTGTCAAGCACGTTATGTACATTTGTTGCCCTCATCATTCTCAAAACATTTGGCTTCTACATTAGCCCTTAATATCAGTTGCTCATTTTCCCCCTCCCTCCCCACTTCCACCTCCCTCATGAACCCTGCATGATTCATAAATTATTATAGTTTTGATGCATCTTTTAAAATCCATCTCCATGTACAAAAATAAAAGTCAGAAGGAACTAATTGCTAGAAGGTTGAACATCCTGGCAATCAATAGCAATTATATTGATGCAAACCATCAACAATGAAACTAATTTGAATGAACAATATTGAAGTGTCAACATGTTATCACACAAAATGACCCAAAATGTTGTCCTTCAAATCATATATTGAATATAATAAATATGCTAATCTGTGGAACAGAATACAGCTGCTTCAGAGGGTTTCTGAGACTGTACATCATTATGGATTCTCATTTCTTTTGGTTAACGTCTGGGCGGTTCGAAAAGGTGATGCTATGATTGCAGGCTTAATCCATTGGACCCTCAAGGTTTGTTAACAAATCATTGAAGAAGAATACAAAATGTGTAAGTATTGTTGTAAGTCTGCTGAATGACATCCAGCCATTTTATAACTTAGGAATTGAAGAATATTCACCTAAATCACCTGCTGGCCTTTCCGTGCTAGGGTGGACAGACCTCCTAACCTACGGTGCCTTACAATAGTCCTCAGAGCTGTTGTGTACCATTCATGGACTGTCCTACTCACAGCCTCGGGTGCTTGAAAGTTTTTCTTCCTTTGAAACTTACAAAGAACTCTGAACTAAAAAGAGTAGATCGCATGGGTCATTGAGACATGGTATACTGTTTTTATATAATGGGCTATCAAATAATTGCTCTGGAAGCATTTACTGAAATCCCAATTGCAATTTTGTATCCTGCCACCACCTGTATTTTCACAAGGTTAGTTTACAACTCTATTAAAGGACTTGGTTTACTATTGTGTTTCTATACTTAACACTATCTGACTGAGATATAGCATTATGTCATATATTTTTTAACTCTAGCTTCATTGTTGAATAATTGTTAAAAAACACTTGGTATTAGAAATTATATGTATCCATTCATTTTAGAATGTAGTCACATGTTGAGTTAAGTTAACCCTTGGGAAGCTTCTTGAGAAGATATAGTCGAAGTTAGTTATGTAATCCATGAGATCCAAAACAACCTTGCAAGTCATTTGTCCTCTAATACATTTTCCTCAGGAGGTGTTTATCTGTGAGGACTGTGATTTGAGATTGTAAGATAAATAAATGGGAAGATAGGATGAACTAATAATTTATAAATAGTACTATATTGTAAACACTATGGGATGTTTGCCACAACATGAGATAATACATTATATTTATGATATGATACTGAGAACTTATATTAAGAACTAAAAACGGTACTAACATTTGGAAAAAACATAAAGCTTGTAGAGTTTTCAGTTAGACGATTTATTTGAGTGAAACCACCATACGTATTTACCAAACAGGACCAAATAAGTGAAACTACTAGACTAAGTGAGATTGGAATACTTCCCTGATTTCTAATTACAAGTTTCAAATAACTTAGGTTAGAAAAATATTTTCTCTTTCTTTGATTTGTTTCTACATTTATAAAATGCTTTCATAAGTATCATATATCTATTTCACATTAGACAAAAAATTCCAGATACTGGAAATACTATGATAAGTAAAAATGTGGCCTATGTGGGGAAAAAAACATAGCTACAATATAAAAGTATTTACACTTAGGAAATATACTCACAATGTTAAAGAACTACATAAATCAATATACATGCACACATACTTGTATTACATGCAGTTTTCTAAAACTTATACAGATACCAGACCATACTCTTTCTACTTCTGAAGAAAGAGAAAAAGGAGCAGAAAAACCCTAAGTAATATAAACAAGTTTTCACACCCTTTATGGGGTAAGACAGAATTTGTCACACTGTGCTGGATTGCCTGTTGCTATGATGATGGAAGCTAGACCACTGGTATTTCAAACACCAAGGTGGTCATAAGGTAGACAGCTTTAATTGGAGCTTCCACAGTAAAACAGACAAGCGGGGAGGAGTAGGAAGTCCATTTCTGAGCAACTAGCCACAGAAAACCTTACAAGCAGCAATGAAACTCTCTGTGATTTAGCACTGCTAGATGGGCTTCGCAGGTTTGACCTGCCATTGCCATTGAGCTGTTTCTGAGTCCTAGTGACTCTACTTAGAGTTTCCAAGACTATACATTTCCATAGGAGTAGACAGCCTTATCTTACTCAGATGAATAGGCTGCCAGTTTTGAACTACTAACCTTGTAGTTAGCACTCTAAAGCTTACGTGATAGTGGCAAGTGCTATGATTCAGGAAGTGCTGCTTCCTCAAAGTAAAGTTGACCTTAAGGACAAAAATGCAGCAACACATTCAAAACTTCCATTTGCTAATGGGAACAATTTAAAATATGACAAAACAGCTGCAGATGTTTAATAATAATCAAACGTGGAATATACACAATATAAATCTAGTCAAAATAAGATAATGAATATATCTCATCTGAACTTGGAGCTAATCTCAAGAACAAACTTGACACAATGAAGACCAATGAGTGAAGAACAAGCCAGTTGTGGGAGATATTGAGAACATCAAAAAAGGACAGAAATAGCAAACCCAGAAAGGAGGTGCGGTCAGTGATTTCAAATTGAGAGGCTTGCAATGGATAAATTGAAACACAATGTGTATAAAATGTTTCATGATACGCTATTCAAAATTTTATCCAATTTACAATAAAAAGTTGTTTTAAAAACCCACCTTACATGAAGACCCCAAAAGGCCATTAAAAGGACATGAAGAAAGGACTAAAGTAAATGTAAACTCTTACTCCTAAACTTGCTATTAAACTCAGAGCAGGTAAGCAAAGGAAAGAAACTGTGAAGGAAAACTCTGAAGATAAAACCGACAAGGGAAGATTGATAAGATAAAATATAACAATGCCATTCGTAAGGAGAGTCAGAAAGCCAAAAATAAATATGCTCTGCATTACTCAAGCTGAAAGAATTGAGAGATAGATACAAATCGACAAACATATTTCAGCCTCCGTTGCAATACCTAAGCATGCTGTCGGTAAAATACTAAATGATGCAGAAATTTTGAAAGAAATGGGAGAAATTTTCAATCATTATATTAAAAAGATTTGGTCAACATTCAATTTCCCCCCCCCCTCTTCCTACTGAATTTATTCCAAGAGCCACTCTCCTCCCAACCGTGGGTCTGCGGGGGCGGGTGGGAGAATGGCTGAAGTTGGGGTTCTAGGTAGCAGATGCCAAGACTGAGAAACAGTGGGGAGCTGAGGGGGATGATGAAGCCGGAGTGGATGTCCTGTGGGTCAGAGTGGACCCATGCTGAGGGGAGGGGTGGAAGGAGCGCATCAGTTGTCCCTGATGGTCTTCTGAATCCAGTCCACTTATTTGCAAAGCTTGCTGTAGACTCCTGGAATGCCTTTTTGCCCTCAAGGCCCTACAGACCCCCAGGATACTAGACCCTGCAGGACTCCCCCGCAAACCAGGGGGCCCCCTGAGTCACCCTGGCAGGCATCCTCGCCGGGCATGCAGTCTGCACACACCATGTTGTCCGTGATTCTCCCAGGGTAGACCGCACCGCAGGCGGCATCTGAGAAGATGGAGAGGTTGAGACACTGGAGAAGTTCCGGGAATGGGTCCCTTGGCTGGTTGGTGGTGCCCCGGCCTGAGATGTGGCACTCATCTCGGCGGTTGGGCAGGTCTTGGGCAGAGGCAGCATCTGGATGCCCCAGGATAAGCGGACAGGCAGGCCCAGCGGCAGAAGCCAGAGGTCTTTGTGGTGGTTCCTCAGGGAGCCCTGGTGGTCTGGGTGGGTCACGGAGAACCTGCTGTGCCGGATTTGCTCTGTCCAGTCCAGCTTGCTCAGGCTGCGTTCCCCTAGGCGCACCCAGTAGCTCCTGCCCCTGCAGTGAGCGGCTGTGAGGATCCACCTACGGTCAACGAGGACCCCCTCACAGCGCAGGTTGGTGCCATCAAACAACCCCACCTGCCAAGGCTGCGAGTTACGGATACACTCTGTGCCGTTGTAAATCTTCTGGATAGCCTCCTGGCTGAGCCCTGGGGTCAGAGAAGTAGAGAAAGATGGGGTCAGAGAAGTAGAGCGTGTTGATCTGAGCTGAGAGATTGAGGCCTGAGGGAGAGGAAGATACAGATGGGTCAGAGAAAGAAGCAAGGAGTAACAGACAACAGGGAGACAGAAATCCAGGGAAGGGAACGAAGGAAGAAAACATGACAGAAAAGTGGACAGAGATAGAGCCAACATTCAAATATTTTGAGAGGTGAAAATATGATCAAAACCCAATAGTATTGAAAGAAGTCCAAGCTACAGTGAAAAACAAGACTCCAAGTATTGATTTAATATCAATTGAAATGTTAACAAACAAACAAAAAACACCTCATATAGCACTGGAAGTAGATTCCCAAAAGAATGATTAACAAATTATAGTATAATTAGGGATGGATGTACTATCAGTGGACAACTCATTAAGAACATGAAAGGTGAATTTTATGTATGGGACTTGGATGGCAAGTTCAGTGCAGTTTCAATAGTGTAAGACAGAAAATATAAAAAGCAGCACATAAAAGGTTTGGGCATAATTTTTGTAGGGCTCCTGATGTCTTTAAGATCCATTTTAAAAGAAGCCTTTATCTAGACATCTACTCATTTATTTATTTTTTGTACCTGTAGTTTTATTTATAATAAATGACTCAGTAATAATGATCACATCAGGCTATTTAATATGAAACTTCCACTAATAAACTTCCAAAAAATAAATGAAAGACATTGCATTGCTAAGGTTAGTCACAAGATGTACCATGGTCACTTAGAATGTGTATGATAAATAAAAGCTTGAAGGTATCATCTTTTAAGAATAGACTACAGCAAAATTTTCAGTATTTTAATTCATGACTTCTAATAGACACAACAGTGAACTATTCTATTCAACCTTTAGAAAGCTAAGCTGAAAGTTTAATGAAGACATCGGTAGGCTCATATTTCTTCACAAGTGCCCTGACATTATAGCCTTCTGCTTTCAACATTTAATTCCAGCTTCTGCTTGAAATCTTGCTAAAATCACCTTCAATGGTTTGTCCTCTCCCTGTCCTTCAGATGAATGTAGAACTAGCACTTAGGAGCTTTCTCTTGAGGTTTCTCATGAAAAAGAGCTGCAGATAAAAAGAGCTCTTGTTGTTCCATATTTCTTCTTTTTTCTAGGAGAGTTTTATAATTGTGATCGTTAAAGTCTCCCTGCATTTCTGTACCAGACGGGTGAAACGGATCACTTTCCCTCCCCCCATGGTGGTTACATGTTTTCCAATGACATATGGAAGGTGAATTAAATCGTCTATAAAGATGTGTAATTTTAATGTATCAGGCCTGATTTTGAAGAATAGATATTAGACTAGCTGCTGTGAAAAATACAGGGAGCAGAAAAATAATAGAGATAATAGACAATTTTCAAACAATCTCAATAAAGATGAAA